GAGAGAGAGAGAGAGAGAGAGAGAGAGACAGGGTCTTGCTATATAGTTCAGCCTGGCCTTGAACTCACTGTGCAGCTCAGGTTGGCCTCAAACTCAGGTATCTTCCTGCCTCAGCCTCCGGAATGCTGGGATTATAGGTGTGCACCACCACACCTGGCTACATAGGGTTATTTTTAAACTTTAAGTATTTTTCTATAGTGCTCCAAATGTATGTCATCCCTTTTAATTATATATTTTATCATCTTAATTTACTTATTGCTAGTCAGTCACATTAAATTGCTTCTGAATTTTTAATACTATGACTACTGGGTTGAATTATTTCTTTACTATGTATTATCAGGCTAAGATTACTAGATCAAAAGCATAGTCATATTTATTGTGCAAGGATCACTTTATTTCATGTTATTTTTATTTTTTAATTTTTTGCTCCTGAGAGCATGCTTTGCCACTGACCTACACCCCTACCTCTATGACTCAAGGGTTAGTCAATACAAATAAAATGCTTAATATTTTACTTCAAATAACAAAATCTAAGCTTTTTTGTAGTTTATCTTTTAGTCTAACTGAAATGAATATCAATTGCTCATAGAGTAAAGAGTTTCTTAACACTTGAAATGAAAAAAGTTTTAATGGCCCTGCTTATGGAAATTTCAATTGGCATCCTAAAGCACTGACATTTCCTCTAAGATTTTTATTTGAAATTCTTCTTCAAATCAGGAAAAGAAAAATACGACACACCCTTCAGAATTTCCAAATATTCAGGTGAAAAGACCTGGCTGCCTTATGGGGCAGAGAATATTTACCAGAGTAGTAAAAACTACTCTCCTACAACCTGGACTTTTATACAGACTAAGAGATCCCTACACATACGTCATCAGTCGAGGATCGCCGACCCACAGGTATGAACTCATTCTCAGAGTTATGGATGTTTCGCAACATTTTCTGTGCCTTCAGCGTGTTTAAATATTCTCTACTTCTGCACAATGTACAATACTGTACTTCTCCCTTGTATCATAATAATCTATAATGATTAAATACTCATTGAGTAATTTATCCCTAAAAGTTGGCTCTTCTAGCCGGGGATTTAGCTCAGTGGCTCCACGCCTGCCTTGCATGTGCCTCACAAGCACAAGGTCCTGAGTTTGAGCCCCGGTACTGAAAAAAACAAACAACGACAATAAAAAACCTGTGTTCACTTCAGCAGCACATAAAAGTTGGCTGTTCTAAAACCTAAATCATTTTATTTACACAAGGAATCTTTTTTGCAAAATCATTTTACTGTTAAAATCATTAGGTAATTATTATAAAAATAGACATTATGTGAAGTATTTTTGGTTAGCCTATCAACTTAATAACTATTTTCCAATATAATTTCTATATGAAATTTTATGCAAAATAGGAATGCATTATTTTAAAAATCTTTGTTAACTGGAGATACTCTTTTTAAAAATGAAAACTCCTTATTAAATATTCACAACTGTCCTTACCATCCGGATCTACCTCTCTTGAAATTTTAAGTGCCTCTGATGTTGCCATATCTGTATTAGCAGCAGTGACAGCGAGGATAATGGAATTGGGATTACTGATGAACCGAAGAATGAGCTCTCTGATTTGAAGCTCAATATCCTTAGGTTGGTCACCTACAGGCACCT